TGATGACAGAAGCACGCAAACAGACACTGAGCTCAGCTCACATCAAGTTGAACTCACATGACCCGTATCCCTAGTGTGATAGTTTGCCGATCACGCGTTTCCCGGCTTTTCATTTGGATGCGTGGGGAAGTGAAACGTATCAGCCTACAAACTACTGTAAACATATATTTTAGATACGATTTCCTCTTGACCCCAAGTTTTATCCTTTTGTAAACGGCAGTTACGAGACACAAAACTGGTGGTTTTCAGAGTTGTAATGCCCTGTGATTTCCTGTGCTTGTTTCATGTATAGGTATCCCAAATCCGCTAGGGTCTTGATAAAAATCTAAACCGCCATCAACAAAAGCGCTGCGAACTCCCCAGGATAACCTTGGATGACAGAGTATCATCAAGACAGCTTAAAAGTTGTCAGAACAAGTAGAAAATTGCACGCAGATTACTGGAGAAAACCCTGGACGACAAAGTAAGATTTGAGGGATCCGGTTCGACAGCTAGGCGATGGACGTGCAGTGGTTTCCGGTGCTACTCCAAACTTCATGGTCAGTACATATCGAACCATCACATTCAGTTGCTAAGTGACAGAACTCCTTTGTGCGTATTTTTCGTTGTTGGAAACAGGCGGCTATAGGCTCTTTATCAGAAAAATAAAAGCAGTCAACCTAAATGACTGAAAATAACTTCAAGATGGAAAAGGCCTTATTTTGATTGTTACCTCATTCTAGTGAACTGCTCCGAACCCGGTGGGATAGTTTTATTTGGTTGCTTTGATGAATATCCGAAGTGCAAAAATTTGCACGCTTTAGGCGGTTGTGTTTCCTATACCAGCATTTGTCCACCGAAATGCACTTGATGGAAACAATTCAGTAAAAAGCAAAGCCGCAGTTTGCAAATTCAATAAGATACATTTGAAATGAGACCTCTCCTCAATCGGATTCGCGACAAGCTAATCGCCAATGGTGACCTGTATAAGGATCACCATATACGTTACTCAAAAAGTTTGTTTTCAGAAGATTGATTTTGCGGTTTCCTGAAACGTAGAAACAAGTAAGAGAAAGACCCAAATGCTTTAAAATCCACACACACTTTCGGAGCCTAAACCTGAGTATACATAGTTTTCATACTGTTCAAGACCTACTCAGTGATAGAAATTTCACAGTCTTAAAGGTATTTTGCCACTTGATAAGTAATATACTTTGCTTATTGCTTTGCGGATTGTGGCAATACTCTATCCCCAGCTATGTTGCTTGGTCCAGACTCCTAGCACGGCGGATAGTAAGAAGACGAAAAACCTCGGACACAAACTTTGATGATCCAAAAGCACGCGATCAACAGGTGATGCCCCGAACTTCCGAATCCAAGTAAGTAAAAAGATGTTTTCGTGTAAGTGGTCGGATTTAAATTTCTTGGAATATCAATAGGCCATTGATTTATTCATAGTTTGACCTTGAAGATGCCGGAAGTTCGCTAGTACACATAAAAATACAGCGTTGATTGGGTGATATTGATATCCCCAGCAGGGACGAATGCTCAAACGAGAATGATATGAGCAGGCGTTTTACAAGTCACGCAGCCACCTAAATAGTCAAGATATACCCAGCAGGTTTCAAGCATCTGTGGTGCTATCAGGCTGTGAAGTTCTGACAAGCGGGCCGATCGACCGACACAACCAAGTAATATATTACTGGTTCGTCGTAAGAGTATGGTTTCCAAATGGATTATGCGATAGCAGTACAAGTAACCAGCCTACACGCCGTTTTCTGGGTAGAGAGAATAACTAATGGATAAGGTTTCGGATAAAAAGGTCGAAAGTAAACTAACCAGGATCGTTAATGAGTATGTTTCATGAAAGACGATTGGCTAACTTTGGACAGATGATGCCATCAATTCATTTTCTGAGGGTTGGTTTCAAAACTTATCACTAGTGTGCCAGATAAAAAATCACAATATAGGTGGGGTTCCGAGACACTGTACAGTTTTACAGTATCGTGAGATACGTTTTTGGTGTGACCGTCATTTTTACCTAATGCCGCTACACGCGTGGAACTTGTAACGGTTGTGCAGAACGTGTGCCATCGCCCGTTCATTTCAATGTAATAACCCTATCCTGCCTGAACTTTTGGTCATCGTTCGGCTGTAGCACCCATTCAGTGCCCAACCGCCATGCCACCAGAAGGAAGCACGGAGGCTGGGATACTGCCAGGTTGTACAAGCCTAGACAGAGAAAGTTGAGGGGTAGCGGTCGGGTTCGAACCACCGATCTTCCGTTCAGTGAATTCGCGCTCTGACCACTGAACCGTCTCGCCCTTAGTGCAGAAAATGGCATGCGAAACCTTAATCTGGTTGAAATCAGTAACCACCGGTTAAGGTTTGAGACTGGTGTGAGATTCACGAATCGTGTGGGTTCGATAAGCGATTTTTTTGAGTCACGTGAGACTGGGTCTGCATGAAACTACCCTGGATGCAATTAGTAGGTTTAGAGATACGGATGTTANAAGCCTGAGATGGCTACTCAGTTCAGGAATCAACTATTGCTAAACTTAGTAAAGCGTACCGTGTGGGTAAATTGTCCTCAAGCATTAGTATTTTCATCTTGAAAGGATGAACTTCGAGCACTCTGTGTATCAAAAAATGTCACATGTTTTCTTAACAGTGTAGATGGTTGAGATACTGCACTTTGAACACTAAACGGACTTCAAACTGACTGTTTTTACCCCGGGTTTGAGAATGACGTTCAACTACCCTGACAGTTAAAGTTTTGTGTGACCACGAAACTAAGCAAACTCAACATATGTAGGACTAATCGTTCATCTGACATTTGCACGATGTGTTGCGTCAATTATTTAGGAAAGATGGAACAGCGATTTGTCCCAGTGCAAACTGTATGGTACTTCTGGGACGACCTTCCCCTTTAAAGCCACTCACAGAAGTCCGAAAAAGTCGGAGTGTTCAGCATATTAGGAAACTTCGGGATAAACGGATGCAGCATCTAAAGGTGCCACCAAAAGCGTAGAAAGTAGACAATCCAAGGATTTGATTGAAATATTCAATATAAATATTCCTTACAAACCAAGGAAATCGGAGGTCATTCGCAGAATTCTAAACAGGGCTAACATAAGAGTAGCTTTCCAGTGGGGAACACTCTGCGCTCTGCACTGATGCAATTGAAGGATCGTCTCCCGGCAAACAGAACCAAGGACTCTGTCTACAAAATTAAGTGTAACGACTGCACCAAGGTCTATATAGGACAGACGGCCAGGGAACTACACATCAGAATCGAAGGGTATATTAGAAAAACAAACAGGCCGCCCAGGAATGCAGATGAATATCAAGCGTTACTGAAAGACTCGGCAATTGCGGAACATGCACTGGACACGGGACTACGGTTCACATCACAGAGACTGATGGCCGAGGCGGTAGAAATCGCCAAGCATCCCAGTGTTAACAGAATGGAAGGCGTGGAACTGGCAAGCGTGTGGAGAAC